AAAAGTGCAAATATTTAAAAAAAATATTGCTAAATATAAAAATATTGCTAAATATAAAAATAATTAATAAAAAATCAACATTTCTATAATTTTTATTGATATTAAGATTATATTTTGTAATTAATAATCATTTTTAATTTTCTCATTTATTGATTTATTCATAAATCTCATTTCTTATTATTATTTATATATATTGATAAATATTATATATTTAAATTTATTAGTAGAATTTAGTACAATTGTGATGAAATTTTCAGGATATATATAATTCTACATATTTATAAAATTGCACTAAAAATTACCAATATTTTAAAAGATTTATATGTTTATTAAAATTACCGTAAAATTTTTTAAATTACATTTTTTTTATTTATTTGTTTTATTATTTGTTTAAATAATTAAAAAACTTTCTTTTTCTTATTTAATGTGAAGAATCACTAGAAAAATCTATTTAATATGAAATCTTTTAAAATATCATTTATAGCGAATTATAATAAAAAAAGTAGTCTTATATACTTTATAAATATCTTTGAAAGATTATTGTAGAAGTCAAAATAAATACAAAAATTGATATACAAAATTATTGATTGAGATTAATGATTGAGATTTATTTATTAAATTATAAGCAATTCAAATTTCTTTTATTTATTAGGCAAAGTAATGTTTTCTTTACATCTTGCTTAGGTTAATTTCAATTCTTCATAACTCAACAAATAAACTTTATTTTTATATATCAATTTTTGGATCAATTCTTCGAAAGTATTCTAAGTATTCGAATATATATCTTATACGTATATGAATGTATATTTATCTATAAATTATAATTTCTTATTTTTTTCTTGTCTAACTCAAAATCTAATTCATGTCAAAAATAAGTTTCTACTTTTCTTTTGGGAAATCGTTGAAAGACTTTATCGATCGAATAATACATGTATGTAATGTCAAGTACAAGATATATGTGGGTCACACGTGTATTGTGACTTAACATGATGAAAATGAAATGATATTTTGCTAAGTCATTATGTTTTATATTTCATCCATTTAAAAATGCTGTTTAATTGTTTTGCAATTAAATAGAGTATAAAGAATTAAATAATTAATTATAATAATTAGATAAAATAGTAAAGTATAAATGTAAATGAGATGAAAATAAAAAATATTTGTAAATGCTTCTTCTTTCTTTATTAGAGTAGAGTTATTAGTAGAGATATTAAAATAATTCATATATATTATTTTAGAAAAAAAAATCAAATTAAACAAATTTAAATATATAATAATGTAAATGCTATATGAGAAATTTTATTGATTTAAATTTTATTTGATTAAAATATGTCACCTACTGTTAGAAGTAAAATTTGCAAATAAAATGAATTTACAAAAATTTTAAATTAAAGATGATTATTTTGATATCAAAGTTATCAAAATATTATCAAACTAAAATATGAAAAAAGAAAAATGAAAAAAAAACAATATTTTAATAAAATGATAGCAAGATACTAGAAATATTTAAAATAAAATAATTTTTAAATATTAAATTTCATATATATAAAAATTAAAAATAATTAAAATTTATATCACTTTACATAAATATATATTCATATTTCATATAAATAATAGTTAGATATTTTTTTTATAATAAATTTTAAATTTTCATTTATTAAATTATTATATAATTTATTAAATGTCATAATATTTTTTAT